AACTAAATATGCCAAAGTTACCAAAGGAGAAGCACTACATGAATATTATTCGTCTTTTGTATAACAATTTCAACTGAAACTCGGTTTTATTGGTAGTCCTGTTCTTTCTTAATTGATTTTCAATTTTCCCAAGTACTTTCTTATTTTACTAAGTACCCTCTCTATATATTACTACATGTTTTAATATGATGTTACACATCATATTTGATCCATTCTTTTTTATATCGTAGACCGCATATATTAAAGAGATTTCTTGACTGGATGATGATCTAACACGTCTTTGATGTAATAAAAAATATTGTTTTCTTTAAATTTATACATATCCTTAAACTGATCATATTGTGACAAAATATATGTCAGGATGTGCCACCTAATTGATAACATTTTGAAGAAACTCTTCCTTCATATTGTAAAATATGATCTAATTGTTGATAATTGTTCATTTATATTGATATAAAGTTCGATTACACAAACATATTTTACAGTTTACTTTGATATTTTTCGTCTCGTAGTAAATGAGAATTGCTTATTTGATATTTTATAAATTATTTGTTATTCATTCATAACATCGATTACTATTTACGATACAATAAATAATGATAATACTAAACAAAATTTACGATAGCATCATCATTCGGCTTAAACTTCATCCATAAATAAAACTTTTTCTAAGGTTTTTGCAATAAAAAATTACATGAATGTAAAATTGCAATTACATATAACTTTTTTTTTAATATCAATATTTTTAATTAAAAGTGCTCAAAAGATTATGAATAGTATTTTGATGATTATAATATAAATTATAAAATTTATTATGTGATTATAATAATTATAAGATTTAATTAAATAAATATTATTATTATTTATGAATTTATTGGTAAATACGTGATATTACATGATACTATTAATAATATATGGATAAAGCTGGTATAAAAATTTGACTATATTATCAATCTTATAATCATATATAATTGTGTAATACATTCTAAAATGGTAATACTTTTATTAAATACTATTATTGAATATTATAAATTAAAAATTTATTAAAAATGAAAACTTTATTATTTTGAAAACAAATGTTTTCAATGTAATTTGCATATTTTTAAAACATTTGAAATATAATCAATAAATTTTATTGAAATAAAAAATCAAATAATAAAATATCTGTTGTTAATCTGTTTTTATTAATAAAAAAAAAATTTCCAGTATAAATTATCTTCAAAATAATAAAGTTTTTTATTGGTTTCATTCTTTAATGTAAATTTTTTTATTATATAACGAACTTTCAAAACAAGTATAAAAAAATTATTGTCTGTTTTATAAAATTTAAGAAATTATTTACATATTAATAAAATAATTTATAATTTTCGTTAAAAACTATTGAGCAAATATTTGTTGATGTAATAATAAATAAATTTTATTGTATAAATGGTTTACCGCGCATAAAAAAATAAATCCTGGAATATTTAGTAGTGAAATATCTAAGTACTTAAATTTTAATGAAGAAAGATGTTTTTATAAAAACTTTTTAATTCTTCATATTTTTATAGTACAAATGCAAAATGAATCCATTGAATTGACAATAGCTAACAATAAAGAATAATTATATCACTGAATCCTTAATTTAATTTCATTCTTAAGAGCGACTTATAGAAACGCGTTTCTTGGAAAGACATTTCATACTAAATTTCAGCGTTTATCGAAATCCTTCTTTATCAAAATATCGACAATCTCAAATAAAGTGAAAACAAATTTCTTCACTGATATATTCTGTTACAATGACGAAAAATACTAAATACTGGTAAATTTAAAGTCAAGTCCTTCAATTACCAATGGCCTTTCATGTAGCCATCCGATTGTATCTTAATGACACTGAAACTTTCAAATCTCCTTTGATTGTTTCCAATCACAAGACAAGTTAACAGCAAAAATCCACCATCCGCTATGTTATATTACTACATCTACCTGTCGTCGAAAAATCCGACTGACACTTTCAACTGTAGTTTTCTTGTCGAATCATATTGTCTATATGTAACATTTGTTATTTCCAATTGTTGAACCGTCTTCCAGCAAACGGTCACTCAAAATTATTAGATATCTTGAAGTCACTAATGGAACTGGTTTTCATTACTTCGACTACGTCATTCTCCTGACCAATGAAAAGCACTTCGAAATGTCCAGCGATTTTGTCATTTTTGCCAATGAGATAGAAGTATTTAGCTAGAAATTGTAAAATTATTGGTATAATAGTTGCTAAACCCTTAATTGAAATCTTTCTTGATAAAGCTCTAGATTCATTAATCTTGTTTCCTTCGCTATCGTACATTATTCTAAAATTATCCAAAGGGCACATTATTTATCACTACATCGAAAGTATTATTATAAGGGAGAACATATTTTATAGAATCGACTACAACAGAAAAATCATGGAAGTTGCAATTTGACCAATAAAGTATGCGAACTATGGCTGCCTTCGTACGAAAGTCGGAATCCTTCATTAACCATATCAGAAATAATTTGTCTTCGCCAAAGTGGTAGAATTAAAATTTTGTTAAGATCTCATAGTGGCGATGATTGGGTACTAAATGAACCATAAATTTATGTGTATAAGTGGCATTATTGAAAACTGGAGTCTCTATAGTTAAGTTACAATTAAGCTCCTTAAAGGACTTGTTATGAAAATCACGGACAGCATATACGACACTGTCATTTTTGGTTAAACTTATTTCTCAAAGTTAATTGCCTATCAAAAAACATTAATTCCTTGTTAAAGCTTGAAAAGCCAAATATCAGATGGCTGTCCACGCCGATAAAAATTATACCAAAAATAAATAAGAGTCTTTCAAAAGTTCACATAGTTCACGTGTGATCGATCTGAAATATCAAATTAACCGACTATAAAATTTATTTAAATATAGTAATAATGTAGTAGTAAAAAGTAATAGTAATTTTTCTTGCATATTAAATATTTATTGTTAAAATTCTAGATTCCTACGATTATTAATAAAATACAAATAAGAATTTTATAAATCATTTACTTAATTTACTATCTAAAAGTTCCTTTGTGAGTTTATTTATTTTCGGTATATAAATATATAGCATCATTTAATAGGATTAAACGAATTATATTTCAACAGGATATTAACATATATAATCATTTGATAATAATTTAATTTATTCCTTAATAATTAAAAAATATTGCAATAAAATATAATAAAATTTTTATTTAATATTATTTTTATGTAATGATAATATATGGCTTGTCATATATTCCATTTTATATATTATGTATATTATATATTAAATAAAATATATTATAAAATTAAATATATATAATACAAACAAATATATTTTTAAAACAAATAAATTATTTATTATTATAATAAATAAAAAATACTTCATTAATTTTTAAACGAACAGATACTTTTAAAGCAATAGACGACATGCAAAACATGAAACCTTTAAATTAAATATACAATCAAATTATCCATATTTTAAGTAATTTAAGTTTCCTTATTTAAACTTTAATATCCATATTGGATGAAACAGCTAATTGTTCAGAGAAATTTATCAATAATAAATTCAAATATTATATATTCACATAATAATCATAATTAGCTATGGTAAGAATACCTACTCGAATACGTAATTTTTAAATTCTATTGCCGATGTAGTAGCTTTCCATTATGGTAGCAAACTGTTCGCATTAAAATTATATAAAAAACGAAACCTTAAGTACAATGCAAAATGAAGGAGTGGAATCTGCCGATAACGTAGAAGTAGAGATGAACTTTTGTTAATGTTTTATAATCTCAGGAGGTCTCAGTTTCAGTATTATAATTAATAGAATTTTTAATTTAAAAAGTTTTAAAAATAGTTTTAATCTCTAATAAAATATTTTTATTTATTTAAATTTGAATTATCAACATAAAAATAATCACAAAAATATTTACTGCATTATAATTTAATAATTGTATTAATTAATATAATGAATGATAAATTATTTTATAAATTTCTATCAATACAGAAAACTTGTAGTACTTATTAATTTATTGGAATTTATTAAGGCTGAAAATGCATATTTGTTCAGTTTGCAAATAAATATTTTTCTACTACCTAAAAAATAGAATATTTTATTAATATTATATTAAATAGTATGGCATGTAACAAAAAGACTTTAATTTAATTAAATATTCCAAATTGATTAAATATATTTATTTTACAATAAAATCATTAGGGCTATAGTCAATTAAATAATTGCATGATTTTTCTATTTTACTTTTCATTTAATAAATTAAATATTAACTTCATTGGTAATTGTTAACAAATAATAATGTTTATGATAAGTTATTATTCTTATATATTAACATTACTCTACTAATTATAATGACTTGAAAAATATTTATAGTAAAAAAGCTTCTTATTTATTTATTAAAAATTTTACTTGTACTTTTCTACTATTAGTGTTACTAAATTTATAATACTATGTTAACTAATATAGATGTTAAATTATAATAATTCTTCATATACAGGTATTCCGAAGTTATTGTAAAAAAAAACTTAATATTAGTTTATATATTAATAATTTAAAAAGTTTTGTCTTTCTTTTTAATGTAAATACAATCAAACGGTAAAATTATTTAAAAAAAAATTTTTTATAAGGAATATTATAATAGTTTCCCTTTTTACGTATAAAGGCTCTGTATATTTGAAATTGAAAAATTTCTACTTGTAATTTATTATTTTATTTATTTATTTTACATACATTGAAATTATGACGCAAATATACATAAAAAGGGAATACAGCACTGCCTGATTAATTTAATTATTTTGAGAACAATATAACTTTAATTACAGAGCTAATGGTTAAACAAATATGAATGAACAGTTGAGTTTTATGAATAGTACTCAGGAAAACATAAATTATATCTCATGACTGAGGGCATTATAAATAAATGAAGCAAAATTGTCAAATCTGTTGCTTCCTATGACTACTTTAAATCATTACAGTCAATATCACAGTACCGATCCCTACTCCAGCGTCTTCACTTATCAGTGATGACAAGTGTCCTGCATAGATGAAGAAAATTTTAAACAAGTGCAATATAAGAATTATAGCAAAAGAAGTATGTATTATATGACTAACGAAATGTAATTTATTTAAATTTTTAAAATAAATATAATAGTTATATCAGTGACGTTAATCATTAATCGATTAGTTTATGAGTAAAATGTAATAGTTTTCATATTTTCTAAATATCGAATGCCGAATCCCGAGAGACTCTTATGATTTTTTTATAAATATTAGAATATTCTATTTAATTAACCGAAGTGATTATAGGCAATCCAATAAAACTACAGTTAGTATTGCGTTAAATTACTATTACGTAGATTTCCAATTTACGGTCGTACAGGTACCATAAATATATGATAAAGATCAAAATAAGTATATAATTATCTCAAAAGATTTATACATTTATTTCATTTGATGAAATTCATTCAAATTAGTATTATTTAAAAATTACATTATCTTGAATTAAATGAAAAACAATCTTTTTATAAATTTATTTATTTAAAAATCTTAACAACAAGAATTCCTATGATAATTACTGATAATTAACAATTGAAACTACACAGTTATGCAGTAAAATCCAAGAAAACAAAATTTGTTCCTTACTCGCAATAAAAATCGTAGTAATTATTAAAAATGTGCTATTTATAATGTTTCGTATCATTCAGTAAAGTGAGATTTAAAATTAATTTTTATTAAAGTTTATTTAATATTTATTTATTAACTAATAATAAATGTTTGATCAAAATTTTTATTATTTTGACTTATACTTAAGTTAATGTAAATAATACTTTAATTTTTAAAAAACATAATTTAAATATTTATTCATTTAATACGGTAAAATACGATACGGTACAATTAATAAAATGTAATTGATGTCTTATAATAATATTTTTATAATAATCATATAATACAATTTTTAAAGTAATAGGAAAGTGTAATTTTATCCAATTTTATGCAATCAAATATAATTTGTTCTCACTGTTTCAAATTATACTTAATCAAGTCAACTAATAGTGTTCTTAAAATAAATTAACCTCTTTATTACTAAATTAGAGAAAAAGTATAGTGTTTTAACGGTTCTTTAGGCAAAGAAATTTGTTTTTATAACACTAAATATTTTAATTTCGATTTTACTAATACTCTTAGGTTTTATATCCAGAATACGATCTTAGTAATACTAAGATTTTCATAAAATGAATATCTAGATATCTGAATTATTTACATTACCACCATATCAGTAAACCACATAGTTAATAATTGTCTTAAATACACGAAACAACGAAATGAATGATTACTCATACAGGCGAACTCCATCGACATAAAAACTTAGATGATTATGCAAGGCATCGGATTGGTCATGACAGCCTTGGTCCTCGCAACGCTCGTTATTGCGGAAAATGGTTTCACCGTCGGTCGCAGGATTCCTGGTGACGACGAGATCGATATCAAAACGGAAAGGGCCCGAGGTCCACCCGATTACGCACTCAGCTACTACAAAACCTACGTCGGTGACAATTATCGGGTGATTACTCAAGTAGTGATCGAGGAAGTTGCTAATAGTGGAACATACACGGCGATTATCGCTGGAGGCCCTGGACACACTTACGTCACCCTTGCTTATGTTGTACCTCGATATGTCGAGATGAATTATAGAGTGTCTATATATGGAAAAACTCCTGCATTCCGAAAAATTCTCTAAATTGGGTAATCGCTTGAATGATCAAGCGACATTATTATTATGCACAGGTCATTGCCTTATTTAGGAAACTTTAGTGTTCTGGAATATATATTTAATAATATATATTATATACAGTATATGTTTTAGAAATGTATGATATGTATAATATAAAGTTTTTACTTTATTATCGTGTGTGCCTTTAAATTATTTAACATTTATATTGTGTTTTATATTGAAATTACAAAAAATTTTAGCTTTTAAGACCAATTAAAAAGAAACAAAATAGATATTTTTACATAATACTTTAATCTCGTATAATAATAAGTGCAACGATGCTAAAATATGTAAAAATATTAGACTTGTCATTTTAATTTACATTGTAATTTTCTTATCGATCGATACGATATCGATATCGATAATATCGATTTCGTATCGATACGTATATATAAAAATAATGTTTGATTATCTTTTAATCATTAAATTAGGGATTACGCTAAATCTATGCATATCATACGAAGTTTTAAAAATCTTGATAATTTGTTGACAGAACAAATAATTGCAAACTAAAATATTGTTTGATAATACAAATTTCCAAGACACAGATTATTAACATAAGATATGTAAATTTATATTCACTTTGATAAATAAATAAAATAATAATATGAAATAATAAAACTAAATTATAATAATCAATATTTGAAACTTAAACATTTCAAGCAGGAGTAAACTGCCTACATCTAATAAATGAAAAATATATCAAATACAGTAAATGTACAATTATTTCTTGTAACAATATTTATATAAATATGATAATTAAAAAATGGGAATTTTATTTATAAATAAAATAATATTTACAAATAAATTTTTAATGTAATATATTGAAATAATGACTTCCATAGCGATAAAAAAACAAATGTAAAATTAGATCTTCATATTTAATTTATGAAAACCGCTTTTTATCTTTATTATTACATTGAAGAATTTTTGAAAAATATTATGCAAATTATCAGAATATTATTTTTGTACAAAATATTGTTAATATTCTCGTATGATTAATATTATTGTTATTACATTAATATTTAACATTTGACACTTTATATCATGCATTTAAAAACTGAATTCTCCTCGAAGATTAAAAATTAAAATTGGCAGTAAATGTGATCATATATGAATGAATTTGGTAGTCTATATTTAATTAGTTTGCAAAATATTTTACAATTACTAATGTCAATCATTGTATAATTACATGAATATCTTTCAAATTTAAATATTACCTATCACACTGAGAATGTTAAAATGTATATATAATTAGTATATAATTTACAAAATAATTACTATAAAATAAATATTACATTTTTTATATAAACCAGGAATTGTAATTTAATGAAGAACAAACTACGAACAAAAATGAGTTTATAAAATACATTTTTTTCCCATTTATCGAAAAAATAATATATTTCGGCTATTTTGCTGTTTTTTATCCTTGCTCATTCCGTGCAGTTCATTTAAGATAAATTTATTATTATGTTTTTATTTTTATCCTGATGTATCTAAAGATATATTGTTTAATGTTTTTTCTGTAATCCATTTGTTACTATTGTTTGTTTCTTTAACTAACAAAATGTCAGATCAACTTTAACTATTTCCACTAACATTTCCGTAATTATAGTAAAATTTAAAAACATTAAATTTAAAAATAATTATCCATATTAGGAAGCTATGGAAGTGTATTTTTATTAATACAATAATACAATAATATAATACAATAATAATGTATTTAATTATTTACTTTATATTCGATATTTTACTGATAATAATGAAAATTTGACAAATAGTTGAATAGAAAAACTAAATTGAACAAATTAATTAAAAATCTTGTGAAAATCTGAAATTCACAACTATAAAGATTCTATGTTATTTCTCTTTTTTCATATGACAATATAGAATTGTTGAATATATTTAACAAATATTTTACGAGAATTTCTTTTAATAATGTTTATATTGTCATGCAGTTGCAATAATTGATGAAAAAATGTTTTCTTTTTAAAATAATTTCTTGTTTACCTTAATTAGAAAATTATAGTGCATACATAATGAATATTTTGATATTTTATGTAATTATATCGTTGCTACTATATTCTTGAAATATTATCCAATTAAAATTTTTATACATTCGTAGAAGCGCGGTTTTATGCAATTGCTTAGTAATATTTTTTCTATCAACAGATCAAATTTCAAAAGCGATTGCATTATACATATTTACATCGAGCTTTGCGTTATATTTGCTTCTTTATATTATTTGTATTATTATAAATATTTTATAAAAATTTGATTCACTTTATAGAATATAGAATATAATATATAGAATATAATATTCATTTTATTGAAACCGATTATTTTGATAAATTATGTTTTAAAATATTATAAATAAATCATTTAAGTGTTAGCTTTATATGAGGCTGTAAACAAATAATTTTTTTAGTTTTATTTTCAAAATCCGTATCTAATAAAGTTCAATTCTGTTAAATAAAAAAATCCAATAGCTTTATAAGGCTCAATCAATATATTTTTGAAAATATAAATTAATATATAAAAAAATCTCTTAGGATAAGCATGTCATTAACAAGTTGATTCAGTGATCAAAATATGTTTTAATATCATATATTATTAATAAAAAGTACCATAAGAAAAAAAAATTAAACAAATGCAATAATGAAATGCAAAATTCATTGTTTCTATAATTAAGACAAACAGTTCTTCTGAATAATTTATATGTTCGATATTTCTTTCCTTGAACATTATTATTCGTTATGCAATTCAATTTTTGAACTGAGTAAATCCTTATGAGATTGAAAATTATGATAGATTATCCGTTAACAAAATCACGTCTATGATGATATAGCCACAGGAAGAACTTCCCATGCACTCGCTAAGATTTTGCAATGTAATCAGAATATTAAGGATTTCTAGGATTTCTTTCTTAAAGGAGACTTTAACTGATGTCTGTTCTTTTTCGTTGTCGACACAAAGTTATAAAAGGTACTTAGTATATAAAAGCCTCTGAATCCAAGTCATTGAAGGTATCCTTACGCTATGAAATCAATATCACAAAGTTATCTAAGTTATACTCACTCACATGCACGGATAATTATAAATCCAATCAACTAACTTGTTTACCTTTTCATCTTATTCATGTCATGTATAAACTTCCAAACTATTTTTATTAACTAAAATTTTTCAATTTCTAAATTAATCTAATTCTAAATTTCTAAATTAATCATAAAAATAATGCATTAATTTTTTGAATATTATCATATTACACACTAACAAGTTTTACTCAAATTATTTAATTATGTTGGCTTATTTAACAAATTAATTAGAAATTCATACAATGTTCTTTGCAATTATTGATATTGCATTGGCTTCTGTATTTATTATTTAAATAGACTATATACATTTTCTTATTTAATCCTTAAGGTATGCAAGAAAATAGATACTTTATTTATTCTATTATTTAATGTAAAAACTGTATAATCATAAAATCATGAAAATTATATTATTTATTCAAATTAAAATAGTTGTTATTTGCCTATCTATAAATGTATATATTATTTATAATATTTACGTATATTAGCATACGTATATTAGCACCATTAAGAACAATTCAACATTAACTGAGATGTGAATACAATTAGATTAAATCGTAAATGACATTTAATTTTTTTTTATTTCTTATAATGAAAGAAAAAAACTTATTTCTTATGTTTAATAACACTTTTATAATGTTCGAAAATGAAAATATGAAATAAAAAAATTAATCATTACAGGAGGAATAAGATTTTTCATACTACGTATTTAATTTGAAATTAGTGAACCTAATTTAACATACTACATAATTTTATAAACTTACAACCTACTTAAATTTATTTAATATTTGAGTTAATTATTAGTACACATATTAATATCTTTACACACCACATAATAAATTGAATGTGTATTAGAAATTTTTTTATATACTGTGTTTGTATATTATATTATATTAAATAAATACTTACATTATCGTTAATTCAGCTATTTTACATAAATATATTTAAAATAAACTTATTAATTATTTACATAAATTACTTTTCTTAATTAACTTTTCTTATACATTAAATTATACTTTAAATAAGGCATTTTAAATTCAAATCTTATATCCGTAATACTAACCTGATTCGTATTATTTGAAAGTTATGAATATAACTAAACAATATTCCTTTTAAAAAATCAAAATTTAATAATATTAAAAATTATTTTACATACATCCAATTTAGGAACATAATATAATACACGTTAATAAAATACTTCAATTACGTAAATAAATATAATTCATTTTTATAAAATTTCCTTATATCAAAATAAATAAATAAATTTTAATAATATAATTGTACAAAAATAAATAAAAAATTATTTCAATAATTTCGTTATTTAATAAAAAATTAAAATAACAATAGTTCACTGATTCAAATAATTAATATGCAATGTAACAATATAATGTCAACATATACTAAAAATAAAATAGCATTTCTGATATTAGTCATATAAAAATTAATTTAATATGTTTTCTTCTTAAAATATTTTAACGCATCAAGTAATCAGTTAAGAAAAATTGATGAACAAAATTTAATTTATGATATTCATTTGAAATATTTTATACATATACAGTATCCAAAATAGCAATTAAACTATGTATTGTAAAATTATAATGTAATAAATGTAATAGTAATATATAAAATAATAATAAATAAAGTAATAATAATAGTAAGAATAAATAATAAATAAAATGGTAAAAAATTATTTTCATTTACTCATAAAAAATGTAATTAATATACATAATTTGAAGCTAAAGTTCGATAATTTTATCTGATTCTGTTTAGATTAGGTCTAATATTATGGTAGTGTATCAAATATATATACTGCTGAGATTACTTTATTAATTTAATAGTTGAACTAAAATTAATGGAATAATTATAATTTAAATATAAATAATATATAAAATCTATAATTAATAAATATAAAGATTTTCAATGGCTAATAATTTTTTTTTCATTTTTAAATTACAGTAAATACCGGCAAATTATAAAATGATCTAATTTAGATAAAAGAAAATTAAAAATTTCTATGAAATTAGGAACATAGCATTCTATTCTAGTGAACAACAAATATTATTTCTATTTAATTCGAGAATTTAATTTAATTTGAATAAAATAAATTTATTAGTGTTATTAATGAACAAATTTAATATTAATAAGTCTCCTTTATACAATATATTCTAAAAATGTTTTGCAAACAGAAATATCATTAAAATTTTGTTTATACATTATTACAAATCTTATTAGTATGAATACCGATAATACAAACCGATAAGTAAAAATACCGATACTTGAACAATACTTCACCAATAATACTTCAAATAAAATATTTAATTACTTTGATAGCATCTCTTACTGTTTAATTTCGTTTAATTTTCTGAATCGTCAATATTTTTTAAAACTTACAAGAAAGTAATATATTACAAATTTTGATCGTTTTAAATATCAATAATATCTTTTATTACTTATTATTATTACATATATGAAGAATTGAAGTTTATTAAGTAAATTACAAAAGACTATCAATACTGAAGTTATTGAAAAATATGGATTGCATGAAACCAATCCTTTCCTACTTCAACTACAATATTAAAAATGGTTAATTATATTTTGTACTATGAGTACATGTGTTTTATAAACTAATATAATTATTTACATCATTTGATGAATAATTATGAAACTTTTTTTAAGTAAAGAGTAATTAAAGAGAAATATGAGACGTTTAAAAATTTTTTGAAGAACAAACAATAGTTTTTTATTTTCTAATTCGTAGTGCAGTAACGAGTATACAAAAATATTACTTTAAAAGAAAAACGAAAAAATTATTAGTTGATTATTTACAGGAACGTTATTATAAAACAGTTATATATTTTTCGCATTGATCAGAAATTGTTCAAATGTTTATTGTCTATAACTTAAATAATTCAAAATTCCTTTATTTTAATAAAGCTTTAAGTTTAATATAGACATTAATATAATTAAATAAAAGTATAATATTTGAATGTCATTTAATTAAAGATTCTCTCTTAAAAATAGTCAATGGCAAAAAGTTTAATGATTTAAAATAATAATAAATTTGACGTTAGGTAATAATTAATTGTTAAAAATGACATATCTCATTCGTTAAAGTGAATTAATGAAAAATTACATAATTTATCAATCGAATATAATATAAAAAATTAATTACCTATTCACGTATTAGAAAATGTTTTAATTATATAATACATTTATTTGTTTTATTCAGTAGTCTCAGAAGTTTCTGCATTAAATTTTTTATTTTTTTCAATAAATTATAGTATTGTTTCGTTGCATTATATGAATTATGTACATATTAAATTCTTAAATTAATCAGAAACTAAAATATTCCTTTCAAGTCAGATCAACTTTAAGCCACAATCACTTCAAGTAGTCTTATTTCGAGAAGCTAACAAAGTACAAATTATTTTACCCGTAATCTTACCAAGGACTTTGAATACAGTCACACATAATACAAATTAATCGTTCGAAGGTTTAAAAAAAAACATTTGAAAACTATTGTTGACTTTTAAGAAGGTATCAGCCAAATGCCGTTATATTAATTAATTAAAATGTAATTAAATTGTATTATTTTTTAAGACATAAATTTACATGACATAATTGTTAATATAATATACTTATATAATTGAAAACAACCTTTTACATCAATTTGTAATTTTTTATATATACTGAAGCAAGCATTTACTGAGAATAATATTCCCCTTAAACTTTTGAACTCATTGCCAATAAAATGGAATTTGCCAACCTTGCATCAAAACACGATAGATGCCTACGTAATGGAAAAAAGCAATAAAAAACGTTTGTAAAAATGTTATGATAATGTGAAGACGAAACAAACACGGAAGAAAATTATGAGAGAATAGAAACTTAATGCCTCGTGATAATATAAATCTACGCGTCCGCAGTTATGTGATAAAATATACGCAGTGTTGTATAAAAATATATCTATATACATAATAAATTTCAGCTGTAAATATATGTACAGTGTATAGAACACGTTAGAGAGAGACACTCGTGACGCGACCTCGTTCCCTTGTACTCAGAAAAAGAGTAAAAAGAAGTGTGCATAAAAGAAAGATAGAGAAGGATAAAAACAGGTCGCACTCTCCAATAAGAAAACGCAGGCACTGAATAGTATTTTGCTTCGACCCGTGTGTGTATGTATTTGCATGTCCTTCACGTTTTTTTGGATCGCTGTATAATTATTAACAACATTGAGTGAACTATCGTGATGAAAAAAAAAAACAATAAACCTTTGTGAGGATGCACGTACATTTTCAACTGCTTGTATTTTCACATTTCCTTTCAGCTTGTGTACGACGACACACGGCATGCGTGGCTACGAGGTTATGTTCGCTGTCAGAGCCACGAGACTGTGCGCAGCACTCTTTCACGTTAGTTTTTTCTTAAGGAGTCCCGAAGTGTGAAAGTTTCCCTCCACATAAGAGAGAAAAAAATATCACGTAATAGAATTATTTTCAATTTGAGTCGCCCCACCAATTCCGCGCCAATATTTGTTGTGTCACTTATGTTTTTATGAAGTAACCCTTGTGTTTTATTTGGAAATTTATATGTGTTCCTTTTCCTTGTTTTGTGATTTTTGGAGTAACAATAGTTATATTAACTAATTATATGAATTCGAATGTCTCATAAATTTCAAATAATACCCTGGAAGAAATTTCATTGACACTTATCAGTATATATGTAGAATAGAGTAAATTAAAAATAATTTTAATTTGTTGTTTATAATGTCAAGCATGTTTGATGTGGAAATAATTTAATGACAATGAGATTATGGAATTTATTGCCATTGTCACCTTATTATGAATATCTATTCTATAATTGTACTTGTTTTCTTGCTCTATTTAATAAAATTTTATAACCAATTAAGAATCTTATTTTCATTTTTATTTACATTGAAGAAAACTAGTTGAAATTCCTAACCTTGATTAAATATTTAAACAAATGTCAAAATTTCAAAGAATTATAACAAATTTTCATTATAAAATATTAATTAAAAATAACAATCCTATATATTATATTAATACTACATTTCTTGTACTATTTAAACCAAAATTAAACGATGTTAATTATTTTTTTAGAATTAGAAAATTTTATGCAAAATATTGGAACATATATATCTACTCTAAATGATTTTTTATCAAAGGATTTCATAGTTTTTATTGTTAGCAAAAAAATATTTGCATATATATTAGAATATATGGAATTTATTTTTTATAATTGATATGTTTATAATAATTCTATTTCATATCATTAATAGATAAGATAACTATAATTTTAACGTGAATTTCAAACTGATAAATAATATAATTGAATTGATTTTTAGAAATATATAGCATAATATTTATAAATGATCATTATTTTGTTATATGAATAAGTTTTAAAATTACTTTTCCCTTAAATTGTCTTATTACACAAATTTTATTTTAAAATAGAACAAATTAATTTCTCTAAAATTAACATTTATTAGACTATTTCCAAAAATAAATTGTAAATTTATTGATAATAAGATTTATCGCAGAATTGTAAAAATAAAAAGTATTTATAAATAGCAATAGCTTATGATTTGTTGCACTAAAATGCATATTATATACATATTGCATATACACATATAAACATGTCTATCAATTGTATATACTTTCCATTATACTAATCCATTGTTTATGCTTTATCTTTTAATATTATATTAGTTCTTACATATGTAGCTATTTTACTTATTTAATGACTAATTTTATATGAATTTTTATTTCAAAAACTTAGAATAGTTATATTATAATATTTGTTATTATGTTAAATAATATCTTAAATTTGACCTTTATTACATAAATATAGTAATATAAATATTGATACAGATCCTAAATTCTGAAATACAAATTCTGAAATTACCAATTTATTTTCAGTAACAAAAACTGTATTCAAAAATTTATCAAACTGTCCTAAAATCAAGTTGATAAAAACTGTGCATCAAAAGAATTATTGCGAATGAGAAATTGTGATGTTATGTCGTGGATATTAAAATTAGTTCTATTTTATACGTGTAAAACACCTTGGCAGACGCTAATATTTAGTAAATATATTCAACAATTTAACCGTCAATCTGGATTCCATAAATATGACCGATATTACTACCAAGGATTTACATGAGTTACTACAATATTTTTCTAAAAATACTTATAGAGCTAAAGATGCAGATAGTACGGTATGTATTAAAAATCATATTTAGTTACAATAAAATTAAAATCATTATTTCATTGAATTCTCAAATAATTTTTTTTATTTATATAATTTTATAGATATGTGTTTTTATAAATATACGAATTAAAATTTGATTTTATCATGCATATGCATGGATATGTGTGTGCTTGTGTATATCTAATTTTATATATATAGTGTATTCATTTTATAATTGTATATTTTATAATTTAATCAACTAGAATGTAACTTACATCTACATCATCTTCATCAAATTACAACACATACATCTAATATTATATTATATTAATGTTTTGATTTAAATGAAAAGTCTAATAATAATTAGAACTTTAAACAATATCTTTTCATATTTTTCTCATTATAGGGTCAAGCTATTATGCAGAGATGTATACTGCTCGCAGATCTGGACTACACACATACAATAATAAGTAATAATAGTGGTGATTTGAGCGCTCATTATCCCAGTCACCTCATAATTCTAGAATATGAAAAACATCGTAATCAAAATGTCTGCGACACCCCACCACCTTTACAACGAACTACTGAAACTATTTATGAAAGTATCTATGATGTTAACAAATTGAAGGTACATGTAGAGTTTAATAAATAATTGAATAATTCATTTATAATCCTTATCGTTGCTAATTAACGACAACTATACAATAAACAGAGTAATATAAAATTAAAATTAATTAGTAGAAAATTTAACAAAGAATTACTTCTCAGGAGTTAATGAAAAGTGCAAGATTTGCAAGATGTCGCTCGCGATTTCCGCTACCTGTTATATTATATAAAGGAAGGCACGTTTGTCGATCTGCTACATTATCAGGTGGCCCAGAGATTTATGGTAGATCTGGGCTTGAGTATTTTTTTGCTGGTAATGAAACACCTGGAACGCTACAACAACAGGTTGATGATGATAGAACTGGAGAATCTGTGATGAGTGACTGGCAACTTTTTGACAAAGTCAGACACCAAGATATTAAATTATTGAAAACACTTAATGTAGGAACAATAATTGATTTTATGGTAGAGAAAAAGAAAGTTAAATTTGGCATGAAGTAAGTTGCTAGTTTAGTCTGAAATCGAAGCGAAAATGTTTTCGACAAAATAATTAAATTATAATTTGATCTTTTAGTGTTACTTCTTCAGAAAAAGTTGATAAAGAACGAAGGTACTCCGATTTTACAATTATATCTTTGCCGTATCCAGGCTGCGAATTTTTCAAAGAATTCCGAGAAAATGACTATCTGGCCATGGGTTTGGTTTTCGATTGGTCTCAAACACATGTAGATGCTGAAATTGGTGTACCAGAGGATTCAATATCCTCCCAGCTCCGTATAAATTGGGAGCAGTATCAAGTCTGGGACCTAGTCAATCTTACACAAAATTATTTTAAGCTAATTTTAAGATACCTGAACGATAGTAGTAGTGGGATGCTTATTCATTGTATATCAGGTATTACGTTGAATATTTAAAAAGCATTAGCTTACGTCGATGAATTTAAATAGGATAATTTATGGTATTACTGTGTGCTATATTTTAAAGTTTACAAAGTTTATATTTTAGAATTTGCCTTCATCTGGAGAAGAGATACAAGTATTAAAAATTTCTTTTTAATAATTATCTAGTGTACAATAAAATTCAACGATTAGATATAATAAATTTATCCATATAAATTCATTTATTTATATGTAAACATTTGTTTGTGTGTGCTCGCGTTTGTGTATTAATTATAACCTAATAGTTGATAGGGATAGAATATTTACTTTTTACTTTAACTACAATCAAATAGTATTCAGCATATAGATTAAAAATAAAGAAATTTTTTTATAATTGTAATATAACAAACATATATAGATATACTATCAATTTTGACAACATTTGAATATGGAGTTTATAATAAATTACTTTTAAATTGTATTGATTTTTAAAAATAAAGATTTTCTATTAATGCAAATTCATAGGTTGGGACCGTACGCCTCTGTTCATTTCGTTGTTGCGAATAAGCTTGTGGGCTGATGGCGTCATCCACACATCACTAAGTGCACAGCAGCTGTTATATCTGACAATAGCTTACGACTGGATGCTATTTGGTCACGACCTCCACGACCGACTGGCCAAAGGCGAAGAGATTTTCTATTTCTGCTTCTACTTTCTCAAGCACATCCATGAAGAGGAGTTCAGTGTGAACAAACGCCACAGCAATCTTAAGCACGTGGTACTTAGGAACGATAGCGACTCTCAGCTAGACAACGTTATGTTTGATACGGAATCAGTGGTACCACTCAGCTCCGTCAGCTCAAATCTTAGTCTCAACAGTTGCTGTAGCAACGTGAGCCAAAATAGCAGGGATAGCCAGGACAACAATCCCCCCTCTGTCTTCCACTGTACATCCTTGGATAGCCAAGAAGAAGCACATAGCAATGGGTATTTAATCTAATTATCGCTCAAGCAGTTTTTTATTCGTCATTTTTCCCTTTCCAATGACATTCTTACCTTTTATTTTTATTCGCTCTCTCTCTCTCTCTCTTCTCTCTTTCTCACTCTCACTCTCTCTTTCTATTTTTTTCTTTTATCGGAAAGCATCGCTCTACCTTGATGTATGAAGGAAGACAAAGTATGATTTGTTTTAGTTTTAACGATGTTTTGCCTTGTGTTTATTTTAATTTAAACAGCTGCATTCAGTCGAAAGAAAACCATTCGCAGAACAGGATCTTATCCTCGGATTGCATGATCGGGAAATATATCATGATAGGATTTGTACTACTTTACCACACGAGTCTCATTTGAAAGTCCACTAGTAACTTCACGCTGCTTCAAAACGTCTGGTAGAAGATCATCTTGCTTAGGATTGTAACGTTAATCATTTGACCGACAGGTATGTCACCCATTTGCTTATACCCCACCAGTCACTCGCCTACAATATAGAAAATCTTCCACGCGCTGATGACTGTATTCTGCTACTTAAGCTCCTTAGATGAAGTTGTTTCGCATCATAATCTCGTCATTGTTATATGTTTCTAATTGAAACCCATTATGAATTCCAAAAATCCACAAAAGCAAAATAAATCACTTCAGCATCAAATTTTAAAAAGTTGAGAAATTTATGTAAGTCCGAATCTCGTAGTATCCCTTTTCTTTGATTTTGTTTAAATTATAGCTTGCATTCGGTATTACGTCAATAAATATATACATTCCGCTTGTGAAGCTACCAAACACCAACGACCATTAAAAGCGAATTGTGTCGTGAGCCACACTATATGAAGTGGAGATTGAGCTGCCAACAATATATATATAGACACAACTAGAAGATATCAAAGTAAAATAGAGTCAAATAAAAAAGGAGAAAAATTTTATAGAGCGATATATCAATTATTTTAATCTAAAATATTGTTGAATAATTTATTAGTGAACTAAACAAAAAAGTAGAAACTATTTTGTAAAAATAATGTTTTTAAATACACAAATTGAAATGTAAGTATAAATAATGGCATATAAATTGTATAAGTGTATAGTATAAATTGTATAGTAGTGAATAATTCATGGTAGAGAAAAGGCGTGGTTATTGAACTTGATGAATAGCTTGACGATATAAGTTGATATTCTAAAAATTTTTATATAATTGACTTTAATTTTATTGACAGCAACATTTTATCGATTAGGTAAAACTAAAAATTTTCTTTTAAATGACACATTTGCGAAACTTCGTTTTTGAACTTACTCAGAGTTATAAGTACATTGTTATATATAATTTATATAATTATAAATCTCTGTTTAAAAAAAAACGCAAAAAAAAGTAATGCTTTTTCTACTAGAAACTATATCAAGGTAGTATCCTGAAATGAGAAGCATAAACTATAGTCATGTAATATTCAAATGTGAGAACATCGTATTGGAACATCACGTCTAACGTCAATGAAATGTAACTTAATGTACAGTAATGTAATGCCGTGGTCGCTCTACTCTTCATCAAACAAGGATAGCGCTTCGAATCATGGATCGCGATCGCCGCTGCCAAGCAACCGGACGTCCCCGGTGGCGGTACCGGTACCAGGTCGTGTCCGACAACGCAATGAGTCTTCGTCATCCGGCGGTTCCTGGCAGATGATAAGCGGCACCGGAAGTTTACGAGGTTCCACCACCGCCAACGCGCCCAATCTTTCGGACGGCTTACCATGTTCCAGTTTCGCCAGTTCGACCTCCGGGGGCCAGACTTCTCAGGAATCAAGCACAACCGTTATCGAAGAAGATTCGTGCAGCTACTTGTAAGTATGGTTGGTGATGATGGTTGGTGATGATGGAAGTCTATTTATTACATATTTTCTGCTTTATTTAAACTTGAAATGTGCAATGAAATCATTTTTATGTAATTTTCTAAATGATACGTTGTAAATAATACATATTATGAATATTCGTTGTCACCAACATTATACAATTATCAGAGAAAAAATTATATAAGTTAAAATAATAAAGAACAACGCAATTATGGGATCAAGAGTATTCTCTCAATTATGTGTCCGTGCTACGCTCTAAAAATTTCTAAATATAAACGATCATGTGAAACATGTATTGCCTTATTATAAAAATAGGACCCTTTAATACGCATATGGCAAAAAAGTGAAGAGACACTCAAAATTACAAACTCAAGATTTTCATTATATATACTCTAATATCGCGAACCAAAAAAGAACGAGATAAAAGAACCCTTGAAAATTTAAATTATAGTCAGCCGTCTCGAAATATTATAATTCTTTTTAGAATGATAGGTAACAGATGTACTTTTATTAAACTTTTAATATGTGTACTTCTCGGTTTTTAAGCTATGTTACATTTTTAATTTGTTATGACGTGGAAAATGACGAAAAAATAGCTGTCAAATTATTTTTTTTATAATACGTTGTTATTTTTGTATAAAAGAATGTAAATTATAATATTTAGAGATTAAATAATGTCGTATAATGATAAATGCCCGAATATAAATACGGCGTTGAAATTTTACTTGTTTCTTTAAGACACACTTCAATGGCTATGTAATAAATTCTTGATAATTGTATTCATTGATAAGTGATTTAAGTAATAATAACATGAATAATCATAATGATATAATTCTCGTTAGTTAGTAATAGTTATATGCAATATTACTCGTAGAATATTTTACTTCCTGTACAAATATTGAAACTGTTTAATTAATACATTTTTTAATGAATTTATAATTAATTTTAATTTTAATGGCTACATAATAAATTGCAGTTTATAATAGACATTATTCATTCGAATGATGTATTAAATTTTCTTGTGCAGATTCTAAAAATCATAAAAGATTTTTTAGAATTAACATTTTGTTAAAAACATATAATATATAATTTCGCGGTAATTGTAATTTCTATATTTTATCATTGCGTCAGAATGCATCTAGATAATACACCATATACAAATTAAGTAACAATCGAAAGTGCAAAATTGGTATAGCATGCCTACAAGTAGACTGGCGTGGATCAACCAATAAAATTCATATTTATTGGATAATTAAAAAAAAAAGAAAAAGAAAACCTCAAATTTCTAGACACACGAAACGTCAAAGCAGACTCGAGTGCCTGCGTCAGATATTCTACAACGTCTACAATCAGACAGTGGGTTTGAAGATGAAGGACAACTCGGAGACGACGGGCATCGGCCAGTTGCTCGGAAATTTTGCGGAGAAGGTCGGCATACTATCGGTGCAACGTACGTCCTTGTGACATGAGACGTACTTCAGCAACGGCTCGATTACACCACGAATCATGGATTTATAACGAATTATCCGGGCCTTAAGCTATAAGAATGACATATGGAATTCGAAGCATGAAAATGCGACTAAGATCCTGTCAAAATTTTATCGTCGATTTTCTTTCTCTTTTTTTTTAAAACGCGCAATGTATATTATTTCTTTAATTAATTTAATGATCGAAATTTTTGTAATTTTAATAATTAACTTGTAAATGAAATCATTAGAACTGTATACAATTTTTAGTCAATTGTCTTCTGATAATCCTAAATGAATTAGGATGTTTTATAGTGATATTCATAATGAAGTTATACATTTTTCATACAAATTTTTTAATCATAAGTAAAAAGATTAATTTTCACAGGACTGTAATATATGCTTAAGTATTATCAAAAATTATAAATTAAATAAGCATACGTGTGTGAGTGCTAGTATGAGTGCGTTGCGACAGAGAGAATGTGTGTGCACATACATGTGTATGCATATGCATATATATAGCATGAATCCAGAGAATTGTATGGAAAAATTATGCATTCTTGTAACTCGAGGCCCAATAACAAGAAATTGAGATTGACTATTTCTGATATTCTGGAAATTTTATAAACGATGTTAAATAAGTGGAACAACATGATTATTGTACATTATTATTTATTATGGGTAAAAGTTACAAGAAACATAAATAATTAACGAAGATGAGTAGACGCGCTGTAGAAGCGCGCAATGTGTAATATAACTTGATATTTTTGTATATATTGTGGAGTCAATAATACGTACATATATATATATATATATATATATATATATATATATATATATATATATATATATATATATATGTGTGTGTATGTGTGTATGTATATATATATGTGTGTGTGTGTATGTGTATATATATATATATATTTCTTTTTTCATTTTTAATTAGTACGCTTAGATTAGAAGATTATTTATTATATTTCATGAGAAGATTACATCGTGTAGTCAATACTTGCCTTTTACAAATGTATTATTTGGTAGGAAGCATGTGGTGCTTATCTTTTTGCAGATTTCAAATATATTTTTCATATTAGTTATTTTCAAAACTTTTAAAACACATTTACTGATGTATCATTTACTGTAAAGATGAAAGAAACTTATGTAGATAAACGATTAAAATCAGTTTTTTTATTTAATTTTCTGCTTTCTTCTTTCTTTGCGTATCTTATAAGTTCGTAATAAAAATATTAAATATATTTAAAATTCATATACTTGTATAAAATATGTTCTCTTTCACTTTAGGAATATTGTACATGATTATTAATTTTAGTAAGCAATATTGTACTTCAATTACAAATTCATTAATGGAACAATTCGGGATGAAATTACAGTTTCTCGACAAATAGGGCATTGACTTTTAGTTTGTAGCCATTCAGTTAAACAATCCCAACAAAATAAGTGTCCACATGGAGTTGTGCTAACCGATACATACTCTAAGCACAATTGACATTCACTAATTGAGTTATTATCAAACATTGTGTCTTTATTTATAATTTCCAGTTTAGACTTCTTAGATTGCCAAAGTTGGAACAAACACCGAGTAATTGTTATGAAACCCAAAATTCTTAGAATCCAATTGAGATTATTATCCGAAAGTGGTCCATATATCTAAAAACAAAATGTTTGGAATTTTAATTACTCTATTTAATATATATTTTTCAAAAATAGTTAACGTAAAATAAAGTTTACTTTTACATAATCTATTCTAGTTACTCTTCTTCCTATACTATAGTATCTTCCAAAAATATAAAATAATCCCCGATGAACCATAGTTAAGGTAGGTAATACAATGCATAATTTATTAATAAACATACTTAAAAATAATTTAGTTTCAGATTTTAAATTACAGTCATTCTTATTTACAGTGATTTGTAATTTTTTAAATATTTTAATTAATATTTCTTCTCCAAAATAATCAAGTATTGCTGACATTATCCTTACCTATGAAATTTTTGTTATAAACTCATTAAATGTTTTATCCAATTATGTAATTATATAAATTTTATGTACCATTAAAGAAGGAATTTTGTATTTGCTTAAATTTGCTTGTATTATTCCAGTATATTCTTCACCGAGAGTTTGATTACCTAATCCTGAAGTAAATATAAAGTAAAGTAATTTTGCAGATATGTCAGACTTGGTGTAACGTGAAAAATTCCTGTACAAATTATATCTGTGTAAAATATCAGTTATTCGTTCACTCATATCAGATATTAAATCATTATCCCTTTGGTAAGATCGCAAAATTTCTGCTTGGTTTGCATTCCTTACATTTTTATGAACTTGATGTGCCATATTTAATTCTACACTTTGGTCCTTTAAAGATAAAAAATTTCTTATTAGTTCAAATTTTTACTATGAAAAGATTTTAAATAGAAAAGAAAAATTCTACTCGCTTTATTATTTCAAAGAATATATTATACTAACATAATCTAAAATATTTACTTATTATGAATTTTTAACCTTACTTCCTTATGAAAATGTTGCACCTCAACCTATTTTTGTTGTTCGTAACAATCACGAGATACAAATTAATAAAACAGCACCGAAGACAGTAAAGAGGAAAATTATAAATGAAGATCAGACTAGACTCATTAGATCCTTTATGTCACCCACGCTTTTCGATATTTTTTCCCGCGCCTGAGCAATAAAAACAGAAGTAACGCGTATACAGCCTTACTATGCATTATTAAAATACATATTTAAGATAGTGAGGTATGTAATTAATTAATCCCTTATAACTAGTAATCAAAACTCTTGCAAGACATTGCATCTACTGTTAAGAAACAATCAACTTCACTAGACAGCACGCTAGACTTGTCAATTTGAAGATAACAAGATGGTGGGTGTTGATGTGCGTTATAAAGTGTATCATGAAAAAATAAAAGGAAACATACTCCGGCATCTGCACTATGTTTTAAATCTAAAATAGGACGTAATAACTGACATTCAATTTATTTATCACTGAAAAGTAAAAGTCTCTTTCTTATTTCGATTTTTATATACATCAACAATAAACTCTTCGTTTAATTAAATCTTATTATAAGTAAATAAAAAAAAATTATCGAAATAATTTTAAAATTTATTTTACGATTAAATAAATAAAACCGCTATATATAACTGTAAAGTACTTTTTTTTAATAGAAAAAAATTCTGTATTATACATACTCGAAAATCTCCATAAAAATTTTATTTATATTAAATGTTTGATATAAATATATAATCTACATTTTCATAGAGGTCTTTAATTTGCTAATAATTGTTTGTAAATACTAGTTTTTATACATAAAAGCGAATACATTCATTCTTCATACCATTGTATCAACTCAAAGCCAATACATACGAATACCTATCTCAATCCCACTTTTGTTCCACTTAAACTTAATTTACTTATAAAAAGCCGTATGATTATAAGATTATAATTATAATTCATATATATATATATATATATATATATATATATGTGTGTGTGTGTGTGTGCGTGCGTGCGTGAGTGCGTGAGTGCGTGCGTGTATGTGTGTGTAATTTAATAATTTTTTTAATTTTAGATAAATTATTATACGTAAAAGACAATACTAATACGTGTCTTGCTATATTATAAAAAATATTCGAACATTAAAGCGTTTCAGACTTGGAAAAGAGATTGGACAAAAGTGTAAGACTGCCAAAGATTACTACTATTCGATCCACTATTTTCACGTCGATTTCAAAATCGTTATGTGCAATTCTGCTCCAAACAATGTTACGTAGTTGAATGGAATAGAATTAAGTTAGAAAATCGTAAAAAGATAATAAAGAACAATGTGTTGAAGGATGAATAAATAACAGTGAATTATTTTATTCAAAAGACAACAAATAAATAAAACGCCTTCGTATAAGAGTCGACTTTTCAGATTTTCTTCTTTCTATTCCAACTTGAAATTAGTAAAATTACAAATAAAAATAGCAACAAGCAATACACAAGCAAAAATAAAAATTATATGATAGTATAATAATGAGAGCTCCGGTGCTAAAAAGGCTTTTATAAATAATCGATTCGAAGCCAAATGTAATATGCAAGAGCTTCTCCGTAATTTTCCTCTGAGATTCGTCTAGTCTAATTAGTTCATTATATAATGTTGATAGGTAGAGGTTGGTAGATTAATTGGTCTGTATTGTGAGTAAAAAAAACAAGGTAAAGAGCAATCAACGGAAAAAGAGCTCGAATTTAGCTTTCGTCGTTGTTTGTTTCAGTGATCACTTGCTCATGAATATTTGCTTGTCTCATACACTACAGCCTCTCGAGTCGATGATTATTTCTGTTTGAGCTTTCTTTTGTACTCTTCAAAAATGGAAATACTGACTGGCTTGTATTCACCACTACATACAATCTGTCCATCAAAGCCGGAAAGAACCGATAGCTACTCCTGTATCTTACTGTGTCTCCTATAACTCGCTCACTCTTTTTTGTCGTTCATCCATCGTAGAAAAAAATTTTCAACATATTTCTCTCACCTTCGTGGATTTTTCTTGATACACCCTCTTCCTTCCCTCTAAATACATCGTCAATGCGATCTATCGTGTTTGCGGGGAAAACATGACCTTGAGCTCATCGTTGCTGCTAAAATTAACTACGAGTCAACCGATCGCAACTTCTTGTAAACAAACAGAAGATGTATAAGCAATGGAATTAGTAGTTTTTAATTTAAATATTTTTCAATGGCATTTATAGCATTGATTTTATAGTTTCAAGTTGAAAAGTTTAATTATTATTCGCTTCATCTTATAAAATTATTGATTAATTAATAATTGGTTTAAATTTAATTGCACTTTCACGATATTATAATTATTGTGTAACTAAAGCTTTTCAATGCAAGATTGTTTGCAAATTTAAATGTGATTTCCTTAATTTAATATAATTTAATAAATAACAGTTTGAAACAAATTGAAACCTCTCTTTTATTGTTAAAACTAAAACCTTGGCAATGTGGAATTAGTTGAAAAACGAACTGAGACTTGGCGGTCAAAATACATAAAATTCATTAAATTCCTTTAAAATGTTTTCTTGATAAACTATGATTTTTTAATGATACGAACTGATATTCCAAAAAATCTTTTAATTTTAATAAAATATTTATTTAGGTCATATTTCCAATCCATCCGCTCACACTAATTTCTTTAAACTGCCTGTCTAAACAAATGATAAATATAAAAATAACAGCAATACTGTATCATTTTTATTATACTGCGCTCATTTGTAAATTTAATTTCTTTTGCGCGAGTTCAGTATATAACAGCGCCTTCTCTGTTGTGTGCAAGATATATTGTGGTATTGTAGGTCGACCTTAACTCACATGGAATCCGTAGCGTGGCTCTCAACACAATCATAACCTTGCGTACCATATATTAATAAACAAAATTTCTACTATATTTACTTATGTTATACATTATGTGCAGATTTTTTATCATCTTATATTAAGTTAATAATTTAAATTAATACCACGGTGAAAGATTTATTTATATAATATAAGTCTTTAAAGAATGTTACGAATCACAATAAAACTCAATAATAGTACAATTATAAATTTTCTAAATGCATAAGAACAATATAGTATATATACGCAGAGTGTCATTTATTATAGGCATTCGCATATACGGATAAATTTCTTTAAAATTATGCACGTTGGTTTGTTCGGTTGATGTTTTAATTAATATTAAATTTTTAAATGAATTGTTATATATAATTAAATTATATTGAATATGATTTGAATATGAAAGAAAATTTTTTATATTTGGCAATATATGAATTTATATTTTATTGTTGCGCACAAATTAATATAATTGTAAAGCACAAAGTCTAAAGAAATTATTTCAAATAAAATATAAATATTAATGATGAGATTTGAATTATAATCTAGTTTCATCGCAAATGTAATTTTGTTATAGCTTAACAACAAAATTTCGACACTCGTATATTAATAAAATAAAATTGTAATGTTTAGTGCAAGTTGCCAATTTATATATAAATAATATATATATATATATATATATATATATATTTATACATATTATTGTTAATACTAATATCATCATAATGCTGCTTCCAGCTTATTGCGGATGTTGGTTCCAACATCATGATATGTCGTTATTGTTGTTGTTGTTGTTGTTGTTATTGAAACTATTATATTATTATTATTATTATTGCTGTTGCAGCTGGTATTGTAGTTGCTTTTTCTACTATTATTATTATTATTCGTATTAATTATGGGATTACTTTAAGAATGCCTTATTTATAGATAGTATATAAAGCACATTATGAAATATCGCTCTTGCGAAATGTAATATTGAATAGCGAGTACATCACATTTTCTCTCTAGTACAAAGAAATATTAACAACGGTTACAAAATTCATTAATATCTAATATATGCATAATATCTAATAGCAAATGTCGGATTTCAAAATGCATCTTTAACTATTACAGGTACATTATCTAATTGTCTAAAATTGAATTATCCAGATCAATCCCAAAGACAGATAAAATACATAAACTTTTTAGCTAGATCAAATGCATAGATAAACACTTTGAATCGTGCATAAATATAAAGATGATTGTCTTTGGTTTCCGCTGGGGTTTCGCATTCGTCTAATAAACTGCTTGGTTTTACGAGTTTTCATGTACATTTTCACGAGTTATCTGTAAAATGACACGAAAATATCAATCGAGGCATCTTCAACGTCCAATGATGTACTGATGTATTATAAAAACCAAGAGACTGTCACTTACTCAAATTGAGTTAAGGGGTAGCAGCCTCATTGCACTCCATATCCTCACAGGAGCGAGTGACAGCTCGAAGCACTTAAACCGCGAGGAAAAGCCAGAGGAGAATCATAACGCGTCGACGCTCCCGCGCCGGCGCACCCGGGAAATAGCATCCGCTGGCATCGGCGGCCGAGGCTCCGACAGTGAGCGGCAGCTCCTCGGCAAGCTCGTACAGGCGTTCATTAGTCGACAAGTGACGCGGTTCCGGGTGATGCGCTGCTTGGCAGGCAGTACTTTTGTCGAGCGAGACACACGTGCTGACGAGGGAGTTGCCGCGGTGCCAGGCCGCGGGCGCACTCACCGAGCCCAGAACCCGAACGCCCGAACCGCGAGAGGTTAAGGTCTGGCCGCCTGGAGCCCACGCTCCAGGGGAAGCGGCTCACGTGCTGGAGACGGGCTTGACTTGCCTTGACTACCATTTCCTCTGGCCGGGAGTTGGCACCAGGTGGCTCACGGTAATTAGTGTCGACCTTGCCGTTGAACGAGTATCTGCCCACCCTTCATCCTACTTGGCA